CATTTTTTGCAAAATGATCCGCAATCACAAGGAATGGCTTGTGTCCACCAATTGTTGAGTTTCTATCTTGAGCACCCGACCCTGAGACAAGCACTACAATCGGCATTCCGGCCTGAAAATTCTTAGGAAGCGTTAGTGAGGCACCCAGTTCGATCTCTCCATTTTTTAGCACCAAATCTTCTTCAGTAAAATCAAAAGGAGCCTTCGGTTCTTGTGGTCGATTGACTACTTTTTCCTCTTGCACTTCTCGATGGAAAGTAGCGTACCATTTCATGTCTCCCTGTGTCATGATTCCATGAATGCTATCACCGTCAGTGTAGTGAGTCGCTTTGTAGCTCAGGGAAACGCGCTTCCACTTTAAACTCAGAGAATTTCCTTCAATGACTACATCGTCCATCTTCTTATTCTCGTAGGTTCCCTTAGGGTCAGAGAACAGGATTTCCGGACCATTTTCACCATCCTGAATGGTCATGTCAACCAGCATAGCTTGTCCACCAATCACAAATGACGTGTGCCATTCGCCGTTTATTTGAGCGAAGGATGAAATGGTTAGAAGTGTAAAAAGAAAGGTGAGCAGTCGCATAAATTAGTGGTTGGTTGTGTAATAATCGATGTCCTCAAGGTTCCAGTCGATGACCATTCCCTGGGCGAGTTCGTCGGCTACTTTTTTGCCGTACAGCAATTCACAAAGGTAAAGTGAAGCTTCGAATGATTTTGCTCCTCCTGCTGATGTAATGTATTTTCCATCATGTACGAATAAAACGCTGTCCATGACCTTCAAGTGCGGATACATTTCTTTGTACTCGTCCACATCTCCGGGGAATGTTGTAGAGACTTTATCGTCTAGTAATCCCGTTTTTGCCAATAGAAAAGCGCCATCACAATGAGAGGTAACGTATTTTGCATTCGGAGCAACGTCCTGAATAAATTGAATCAATTCCTTGTTCTCTAAATCGGAATCCAGGTGGTGTTCAGCCGCTGGAATAACGAGTATATCAATAGCTGGAACTGAATCGAGGTAATTGAAATCCGGTAGAACGGAAAGTCCTTCGAATGTTTTAATGGGATTGAGTGTATTGGCGACTGTAAAGACATTCATCGCTTGGATGTTCTTTCTGAAAATCGTGTGATGAAAGATGTCCATTGGAGCAGTTAACTCCGTATTGTAGGTGCCTTCCATAATCAGGATGGCAACGTTTAGATTGCCTTCTTTTAATTCCGGATATGAATGCGGAGAAGTGATTTTATCTTCCTGCGTTTTTTCGGTGCAGGCGAATAGTCCAAGGGACAAAGCGAAAATGATAAATAGGCGCATAGCTGTAGCTTTCGAATAAAGATGTCGAATTAACTCAACAATCGAAGGATGAACTCGCAATTTTTTTCCGTGTCGAAATGCTGTTTTAGATATTCAACGCGGTGTTCGAAGTGTGCGGAAGGAAGTTCGTGGTGAACCATTTCAGAGATGGCGGATTTCCATTCCTCTACGGTATTTACTTCGTGACAGAATTCGTCAAGTCCCGTTCCATCGATCATTTCACGATTCACCAATACATGAGCAGACGATTGCAACGATTGAATCAACTTTAACTTAATTCCCGTTGATTGATCCGTACGCAGCGCATGAACACGCGCTTCGCAAATAAGGGTTTCCATT